ATGAGCAAGGGAGTGGAGGATTATAAACAATTATCATGATAAGGAAGTAACTTACCTAGTATATTAGAAGGTTCAAATTACTGTGGGAGAAATGGGCCCTGGTAAAGAGAATCAGATTTAAGAAAGTGAGAAGTACAAGTAGGTGATTGCAATTTCAAATAATGTGGTGAGGGAAACCCTCAATGAGAAGATACCATTTTAGGTCAGAAGTTCGAGACCTGCCTAAGCAAGAGTGAGACCCTATCTCTACTAAAAATAGAAAGAAATTATCTGAGCAACTTAAAATATATGGAAAAAAATTAGCCAGGCATGGTGGCACATGCCTGTACTGCCAGCTACTGGGGAGGCTGAGGCAGCAGGATTGCTTGAGCCAGGAGTTTGAGGTTGCAGTGACCTAGGCTGATGCCACGGCACTATAGCCGGGGCAACAAAGTGAGACTCTGTCTCCAAAAAAAAAGAAGGTACCATTTGAGAAAAGACTTGAAGGGAGCCTTACAGAGATGTTGTAGAAGGCCCAGCAGGCACACCTATCCCATTAGCAAGTAATTGTAGTTAAGAGTGAAATAGAATTTTCTTTTAATTTGTATGCATTGTTTTTCAGAAGGCTACTTAGGGAGGATTATGTTGGTTTCCTGTGGCTAGTATAACAAATCATTTTTAAGCTTGACAGCTTAAAAAAACAGAAATTTACTCTCAGGGTTCTAAAGGCCAGAGTCTGAAGTTGGTATCACTGGGATAAAATTAAAGTGTTGACAGAGCCACACTTCCTTTGCAGGTCTTGGGGAAATTTCATTCCCGCCTTTTCCAGCTTCTGCTGGCAGCTGGCATTCCTTGGCTGGTGGCTGCATTACTCCAATCTTTGCCTCTGTGACCATTGCCTTCTCTTATTCTGTCTTCATTAAATCTCTACCTGCCCGTACTTTATAAGGACATATGTTATTGTATGTGGGACACACTCTGATAATCCAGGGTAATCTCCCCATGTCAAGATCTTTAGTTTAGTCACATCCAAAGACTCTTTTCTGAATAAGGTAATATTTACAGGTTCCAGGGATCAGGAGTTCTCTTTGTGTGGCCATTATCCAGCCTACTACACCATAAATACTTACTAAATTGTTGCCACCTAACTACTAAATAAAGACTGTTAAGTATTTCTTTTGGCCTAGGAGTCAGACAACAAGGGCTTGGTGAATCTAGAAAGTTTGGAAACCCCCAAGTTTGAAGGATATTGCAATAATCTAGGCTGGAAATAATGGAGGCTAGCACCTGAGTGAAAATGGAGAAATGTGGTTAAAAGTAGACAAGTTCTAGATGGAATTTCAAGGTAGGGCAGATGGACCTTGCTAAAATTTTCAGTGTGCAGTTGGAAGGGGAGAGAAGGTGCGAAATGACTTAAAAGGGTTCTGGCCAGAGCAACTGGAAAAAAATGACCTTATCACTAACTGAGATGAAGAAAACTGCATGGACTAGGTTTTTGTGGAGAGAGGAACAGAGATTGGAGATATTGTTTTGTGCCTGCTTAGAAAAAGTAAATATAGATGGAAGTGAAAGGCCAGGTTCAGTGGAAGCAATTTGCATTCCTGAGGAAGGAGGATTGCTTGAGGCCAGGAGTTTGAGACTAGCCTAGGCAACATGGCCAAATGCCATCTCTACAAAAAATGAAAAAATTAGCTGGGTGTGGTGGTCCATGTCTGTAGTTCCAGCTACTTAGAAAGCTGAGACAGGAGGATCACTTGAGCCCAGTAGTTTAAAGCTGCAGTGAGCTGTGATCACACCACTGCACGCTGCCTGGACAATAAAGTGGGACTCTGTCTCTATGAAAAGAGAGAGAGAGACACACAGAGAGAGAGAGAGAGAGAGAAGAAGGGGGGCATGGTGGCGCATGCCTGTAGTCCCAGCTACTCGGGAGGCTGAGGCAGGAGGATCGCTTGAGCCCAGGAGATTGAGGTTGCTGTGAGCTAGGCTGATGCCACGGCACTCACTCTAGCCTGGGCAACAAAGTGAGACTATGTCTGTATGAAAAAAGAGAGACAGACAGAGAGAGAGAGAGAAGAAGGGAAAGACAGAAAACACACATTTCTAACCAGGTCCTGCCTCCAGGCTCTCCACTAGCCCAGGTTATTTCACCTCTCACAGTAGCCAAATGTCTTGCCACCCATGAGCTCTTTAGACTGCTGTGTTTTGACTTCTCATCTAAAACGTGAACTGAGAAAGGACAGACATGAGGTGCTGTGTGAGACACAGGGACTCTGACAGCCTCCTCTGATGCTGGCTTAACTAGTCTGGGGCAAATGGAACTGAAAACTGTAAGACATTTAATATAATTATGTCAAAAGGTTGAGCAGGATTTCATAAAGAGGGAAGCAGCAGTGTAGTTTTTGGATCTCCCCAAATCTTCTCAGGGAAATAACTTATGAGTAGCATTTTCCTTAAAACCAGAGGAGAAAACTTTCCCTATGAATCTTAGAACAAGAGAGTGGGGCAAACCATCACCCATGGGCACCAGACCTACCTGGTATTAGCATCTGTACAGGAGGGAGTAGCAAGAGGCCTTCAAAGTGCCAGCAGGTGTCCACTGGAAAGCTCTGTGGACCAGTTTGAAAGTGGCAGCTGAATCTGAGAGGCTCTGCCCAGTGCCGAATTGGGTAAGTGCACCAGGCCTGTGATAGATTCTAAAGGCTGAAGGGAGTCTACCCTTCTAGACTGTTGACACTGAGCAGCCAGAGCTCCTTTCCAGAAAGTGGCCACACACAGAAGAGAAATTGCTCAGAGGATCAATGAACAGAAAGAATAAAAGTCATGTGGGGAACAGACAGGGAATCTCAGACAGCAGGACACCATATTTTTGAATCCTACATTAAAAGAAAACACAAACAGAAGAAGTGTTTTATGAACTTAGAAAAGTTATCCTCAAATGCACCTCCTTTTCAAAGTGCAGAAAAACTAATTTTACCTAAATAAAACAGAAAATGATTGAGATCAAATCCCATGCAAAGTTATTATAGAAAAAAAAAGAGAATGAAGTGCAGAATAGCATCCTCTCAGATCACAGGAGCAAGTCAGAAAGGCCCACCAAACAGATCAAAACAGTAACCTGTTATTTCAAAGCTAGCTATGAGACATTAGGAAAAACAAGGAAACAGATGAAAGAGCATGGAGAAGGGATGAGGAGTTATTACTCCGTGAGTACTGTACAGAGTTTCTGTTTGGGATGATGAGAAAGTTCCGGAGATGGAGAGTGGTAACGTTGTTGAACAACATGGTGAGTCTACGTAATGCCACTGAATTGTACACTTAGACATGGTTACAATGGCAAATTTTATGGTATGCATATTTTACCACAATAAAAGAAGATGAAAAAGCAATGTAAATCAGAATTAGGTTATATGATAGAACTCAGAACAAAATTAAAAGTAAAATATTTCAGAAATGAAGACTAAAGATAACATAATATGAGCTTCAAGGTGGCTGACTAGAAGGATTTCATGCCCACCTCCTCCACTTAGAAGAACTGAAATCATCTATAGACTGTTGCACTTCAAATACATTATCCATGATTGAACACTGAAATCCAACAGAGAATGGACAGGAAACCGCAGTATCGGGGAAGGAGAAGGAAGAGAGGAAGCTGCTTGGCCAGGACCAGCTGGGAGCCATGAGTGACTCTGCAGCTCAGGGAAAGTGTGAATGGGAGACTGCCAGTGGCCATATCCCCACTGTGGAGTCATGCCATCCTGGCTAGGGACAGCCCCTTGACCTTCCCAAGCTCTGAGACTAACATAAGCAGTCAAGAGACTGTGGGGTGGAATTGCTCCGGAGAGGGTGCTCACACTGGGTCCCACACTCTTTCTGAGATCTAAACAGCTATGTGCAAGGCCGTCGTATTCAAACCTAGCCTTTGGCTAAGTGCACACTGACCTGGGGCCCAGTGAGACTGGGACTGAGGTTTATGGATGCTAAGACAGTTGCTGCTGGGATTGGGGAACAGGCTGGGGGTGCTCTTTTTATTTTTATTTCATTATTATTATTTTTTAAAATAAGAGACAGCATCTTGTTACATTGCCCAGGCTGGAATGCACTGGCTATAAACAGGCACGATCCCACTACTGAATCGTATCTTTTGAAACCGTGAATTTTGTTATGTGAATTCTGTCTCAAAAAAGAAATTTTATCTCCACAAATATCTTTAAAAAATGTCAATTACTGACTTTTTCATAGTTGCAATCCCTGTCCCACCTCCTCCTTCCCCATTCCATTCCCTTTCTGCCCTCCCCCTACCTCCCCCTACCATCCCACCGCCTCCCTCCCTTCCCCCCTGGTGCTGAGTCTCCAGGCCCCTCAGGAGCGCCTCTGGACCCTTGGGCGCCTGCGCCATGAGGGTTTGGCCGGTGAGCCAGTGCGCACGCGCAGCAAGCGCTGCCACCCCGGGGAAATAGACACAACCAGCTGGTGCTTCTCGAGCGCTTCGGTTGATGGCGGAGGTCCAAGGAGGCAGCACGCGCTGGGGTCGGTGGAGGACGACATGGCGGGCCCCTCAACTTCATATTTAGGCCCCTGCAGAAGTTCGATCTCGAGCCGACGGTGTGCTCTGAAAGCCAGGTTGGCCGCCTATGGGCGCTGGAAATCACTGAGGACCTCGGAGCCCCGTAGGCCTGGCATTGAGGCCTTGCTCCGCGTGTGTTGAGCCCAGCCATTGCTTAACCAGCCTAGTGAAGTGGCACAGTGGTTCGGGCCTCGCGTGTCCTTGTGAAGGTTAACGCAAGTAGTGCATGTGGCTGGCCCCCTGCGCGGGTATAGTCAGTCAATAAATGTGGATTATATGCCAGGCCCTGTTCTGGCTGGACCTCATGCTAAGGAGTTCACTTGGCCAGGGCCCTGGTTTTCAGTTGCTCCCAGGATACCTGCTTGTCACTCCCTTGGTAGAATCTCCTGTGTTTTGTACTCACCTTTCTCGGCTATAGATCATATACACATAAGGTAACCCAAATCTTTTGAGGATATGTCCTCTATCTTATTTTCAAAAATACTTATCAGGTAGGGCATAAGATATAAGGCCATTCTCCATGAAAGATTTCTTGACATTTCTGTGGTCAACTCAGGCTCATCTTCTCCAATTATCAACTTAATATAATTTATTGTTTTAGCCCGAACCTTAGACTCTGTATCTTAGTTCTGTCATTTTCCCCATTGCTGATACTTTTTATAAATCCATAAATATCTTCCCTTTTGGCTTACCTAGTCCTGGAACAGGATCCTTCCTCTTTCTTCAATTCTTAATCCCTTTTGCCCCTTATTCTCCCACCCAACTTTCAGTGCCTTCTTTCTAAGGCAGCCTTTGATCCCCACCTCCCTGAAAGAAAAACCACACTTAACAGCACATCAAAACTCAAAAGGCTTCTTTATTACTCTGCTATTAATCAATTTTATTACATTTCTTTACTCAATTTTATTAAGATTTTAAAATATATCAGAATTAATAGAGAAATTTGTATCTATCTATTTATATGTGGAAAACCAGCTGGTACTCAAAGTGGTACCAGTAAGCTGAGCATCTCTTATTTTACGTAACCATAGTAGCGTGAAATTTCCATCTCTTTTTCTCTCTCAATGAAAAACTGCACTTTCCCCAGAGAGCTGTATTTGGCGGCATTCTCTCGCTCTTGTTGAGCCTTCCTTTTCATGGCTTCACGCTCTGGCCTCTGCTCTTTTGTGATAGGCTTTGATAGTACTGGCCCAGAAATATTGGGTTTCCTCCATGGAATTGGTTGACAGCTGAAGTCTTGGAGTAGAAATTGGTTTTGAGGCTTGGGTGGTGACTTGGGCTTGGTCACAGGAGTGAAAACAGGCTCTTGCTGGAGGGAAGTACAAGATGATGTTTTGCAAGGTGCAGGCTTAGAGGCAGCAGACTGAGGTTCATTAGGCCGGGTAGGGTTGGTCAAACTGTGTCTGGTTGCATTGGTTGAAACTGGCCAAGCTGGTCTGGCAGGAAATGTTGAAAATGCATTGGTAGGAGCTGGTCTGGATAGATTGACTGCAATAGGTTGAGCTGAGTTAATACAAGCAGGCTGGGCAGGGTTAGCTGCAGCAGGCTGAGCAGGGTTAGCTGCAGCAGGCCTACGTGAGGCCAGAGAATGTGGCCGCCGAGGAACAGGTCGAGCTGGAGGTTTGTCCAGGGTCGGAAAGGGCAAAGGTACCAACTTGACCTTCCCAGGTGGTGGCAGCTCATACTGCGATGGAGATGGACACTCTTTTCCAGCACTGCCATCTGTTTTCTGGGCTTTGACTGGAGTTTTCTCAGAACCTTTACCCTCACGTGGAGTATCCAGCCATGGTTTGAAAGTTGGGGATAGCTGGGGGTCTTTGGTGTTGCTTGAATTTCCCAGCTTCCTGAAGGAAGAGAGTCCAGTTTTCTTATCACTCTTCTTTCCCAGTGGGTGGAAAACCTGAACAGACTCCAGCATGTGCATACCTAGGCAGCTTCGAGGCTTTTTAAAATTCTCTGGGCTAAGCTCAAGTTGATTTTTCTTCCGCTTCATCTTGGGAATGGTTGGCTTGTCTTCTGCCTTGACTTTGTTCCCTGACTGCTTACTTTCTTCAGCTTTCTTGGAGTTGTTTTCTCTGGTCCTTTTGGTCTTTTCCTGCCCATGACCCTTAGTTTTGCTGCTCCTGCTGGATGCAGCTTTCTGAGGTTTGCTGTTAGAATGCTTGGCTACAGCACTGAGAACAATCACTTCTTCCCCTGTCAGGCACTCTGGATTCTTTGGCTGGATTTTGGCCTTGGGAGCACCACTGATAGGCTCAGAAGCTTTATGCTTGTTCTTCCTGACTTGATCAGAGGAATCCTTTATGACATTGGACTTTTCCTGTGACTGATTCAACATGGACGCTTTGGCATCTTTGGCTTTGATTGCTGTGAGATCTTTGGATTGGTCAAGATCTTTTAAGGAATTGAAGAGCTGGGGAAGGTGAATATCCTTCACCAGTGTAGAGATGTCTGAAAAACTACTGCCAGACTCAATCTCACTTTCAAGTGTCCCTTGGTGTTCAAGACTCAGGCTGTTGTTTCCTAGACTGACAGTTTTAGAATGAGGCTGCACCTCTTGGCCAAGAGGATCAATGCAGGCCAGAAGCTGATGGATATCAGGGATTTCTAAAGGGAGTAGTGGAGGATCTTGGTTTTCTGCTGGGATCTGGTAGGCATCCAGAGCCTTTGACAGCTTGGTTTTAGTCTCATCCAAATTCTTATTCTCTTTTTCTTCTTGGGTGGAAGCTGGAGGCAGTGCCAAGAAATCAGAAGGACTCTGGACTGGAGCTATTATTGAAATGTCCTCAAACTCAGAAGGTGGGTTATTATCAATTATCTGGATATTTCTGCTCTTGCAGGACTTGGGGAATTCTGGCATTTGTGGCAGACAAAGTGTCTGGGTTGGAGTTTGTAATCCCAGAGAGGTGTCCATCTCTAGGGAAGTTTCCATCACTACAAAGGAATCAAGAAAGCAGTCAGTCCCTGGTAAGTGAGATGCTCTCCCTACACACCAAGGCAGAGTCAGGCACCTTATAACAGAGGGCAACACATTTCTACTAGCTCTTCCTGGGTACCATGGACAAGACCCTGTATTAGGACACAGGCAGTGACTGTCCTAGTTCTTACTGGTTATCATTTGATCCATTGTTTCTTGGTTTTCTTTATATTTCATAGAGTTGTTATAGGTCAAATAAAAACTAAAGTGATTTTTAAACATATGAAATGTTTTATAAAACCTAGCATTCTTATGTATTTTTCTTTCCATTTTTTTCACTCTGCTGAGAGAGTAAACACACTTCACTCCATGGATTAGGAGAGTGAGTGGAGCTCTTCCTCATGAAATAGATAACCAAGGACAGATTCTGAGCCAGCTTGCTTTGGACAGGATCTGTGGACACAAGGTCTTAAATCCTTGTGCAAACCAAGGAACGTTAAAATGTCACTATCACAATAAGAGTTCTGAAGTGCATTCCAAAAGGACTAAAGCAATATATCAGGGAAGAGAGTTAATATCAGTGTGATGGTGCAGGGGAACTGATCAGCACATTAGGGCAACAAAGAGTGTGGTAGCCCCCAGCGTACTCCTGGGGTTCTTTTACAGGTATCCTAGATGGCCACTATAGTGGTCTACGTTCTCACCTATATTAGATGTTCTTATGTAGTGTCTGAAAGTGGGGAACACTAAGCAAAGGTAGTGGTTGAAGTCCCAGGACTTAAATTCTACCTATCTGTGGACTCACTTCTCAGCTGCAGATTTGATCCTCTTTCATTGTCTCTCTTTATGGTTTGTACTTACCTTCAAAACTTGTTTCTGTGATAGGCTGAGCAGACACAGAGTAGTAGATCCTAGGGGTGGAGGTAACTGGTAGGACATTTGTAGGTTGAACCTCCTTTAGCACCATCACCATTTCTGGTTGAGAAGCAGAGGACATACTTCCGGTGTATGACATAGAGCCATAGGATTGCAGGCAGGGGCTAAGTTCTCCAGACAGTAGTGGTCCCAGTGTGCTTTGATTATAGTAATAGACCTTGCTTCCTTCCTGGTAGGGAAGTGACAGGCTATGTTCTTGATTTGAAATTTGAGATGATGTTCCCTGAACAAGCCTTGCAGACAATGATGGGTAGAGAGGGACCATGGTATTGGTATCTGAAGCTTGATCATAATGTGCTGTCATAGACATAGAAGAAACAGTTCTGTCCTGGTCAATGATAGTCACAGTGAGGTCCCCAAGTGAAGATGAGTTTTCAGTGCTTCCTGTCATATCCCAATCAAAAACACTTGGATAGGAGGCAGCTGAAATGGACATGGGGCTGTGGCCAGTAACCCCAGACAACATAGTTGTGCTAGAATGTTGGTAAAGGTAGGCACTACCCATGAGTGACTGGAATGAGCTGCTAGCAGGTGATGGCAGTATCCATGACGAGCTAACAGCTGGAGTAGGGACTCTGGAGAAGTTGCAGACACTTCCTGTTAGGGAAGCCTCATTGCTTACCACAGGAAGAGAGAGCTGCAGAGAATTTGCAGTTCCAAGTAAAGATGAATTTTGGAAATTTTCTGTAGGAAAAAAGAGGATGATGAAAAAACTGATGAGATGGACAAATTCTCACTACATGTGAGGAATAGCATCATCTTAATGTTGCTGCAATCAGGCAGCCTCTAATACCAATACTCACTGAGATACCAAAAGCCAAATAGTTTACGATGCTGTGAAGTTCTGGAGCAGTTGGGTAGTCTTCTGATGAACTGCCTCTGTGTCCAACTTGGGCAGAGATGTGCAGAAGACTCAAGTGGTCTGGTTCACACATTGTTCCCTAGGCTGGAAGTAACCTTCTGCCATCTTTACCCTGAGCCAGCATTAGCACTGACTCATAACTACTTCCTAGAATTAGAGCAGTGTAGAGCTAGGACGTCCTTAGAGAACTTCTGTTCTCACATTTTCATTGTATAAGTGAGGAAACTGAGGCTCTTAGAGGTCAGAGTGACCTATTCAAATTCTCCCATATGTTAGTATCATTACCAGGTCATAGAACCTGACTCCCTTGCCAGGACTCTTTGCTCTGAGTAAAGACTGGAAATCAGGAGAAGTAAAACTGTTAATATAGACAATTTGTGTCAATTAGATGACAGTACAGCTATTAAAACTGTAATCTTAAGTGTCCCACTTTGTTTGTGCAGATCACTTACCATTTTGTAGAGTTCAAATACAGCCCAGACCAGCTGGTAAAATGTAAAGGGTCATTCTTTACCCTTTTCAAGCCTGGCTTCTGATCCTCAGTCAAAACCACTATCTGAGAGTTAGTCTCTCAAGACATAGTTTTGTTTTGTTTTTTTTAATCTTTTTCTCTTTCCCTGAAAGTGCAGTTCTACCAAGACATGGTTTTTGAAAGAAAAAAGTAACTTAAACTCTCTGAGCTTCAGCCTTGTCATGTATAAATTGGTTATAATCATAACAGTGTTAATTTATATATGAATAAAAGTGATATACTGCATTAGATTTATATGGAGAGAAATATATTAAGTTCTAGAAGGACAGAAAAAAATCATGAAAGATGTATAACATTATAGAACTAAAAATAATTGAAAATTGGAATATGTAGTGATTGTCAAGGCATAATACCCTTATTAATAAATGAAGTCTTGTTATCACACATGGTATTATAAAGTGAGTATTATCTACTGTATTTTCATGAATGAATACTATTTACCAAAAAAACGCAGCCCCCAGTATAAGGTAATTTTGAATGAATTTCTAGGCAGTACAGATAGACAGAGAAAGTATATCGGTAAAAAGTGTGTCACTAGCAGCAAAATGGAGTAATGTGTATATATATATGCATAATATATGTACACAAATATTTCAATACAAACAGTACAAAAGCAAAAATAACAATATACCCCAATAAATTTTTTAGAAGAAAAATAAGGTTGTAGGCAACAATTAAAACTATAAATGTAAAGGAGTTTCATTAGTGCAGTCATCATATTTCTCTGAATATTATCCAGCAAATGACAGTAATCCTAGTAGAAAAATATATTTAAATTAAGATAGCCACATAACAATTAGAAAAGAACACTTAAAAAGTATCTTGAAGGTTTTTTCATTTAATCTCAAAACCTAGATTATAATCATCTTTGATATCCAGGAAAATGTCATTCCCAAAGTATAAGAAAACCATCACTGCTAGCAACTGATTTAGAAAAAGTTTTAATGTAGGAAAACCCAAAGGACTCTAGAAAATTGTTTTAGATGAATGTGGAATTAGAGGTGTAGGGCTTTTTCTTTTTATTCTTAGGTTTAAGAAAGTTAATGACTGTTAATCAGTATATATTCTGTTTTAGGATGAAAAAATAAAGATGAAAAGAAACCTTTACTGGAAACCTACTTATTATAAAGGAATCTGTTGTTCAGATGCAAGGTAATATACTTCATTTTTTTTTAAAACTTAATTTTATTTTTAATAGGAGAAACTACAGTATAGTTTAAAATCAGAATGAGCCCGGGCACAGCTCCTAGCACTCTGGGAGATCTAGGCGGGAGGATAGCTTGATGTCAGGAGTTCAAGACTAGCCTGAGCAAGAGGGAGACCCCGTCTAAACTAAAAATAAAAAAATTAGGCCATACTCCTGTAGTCCAGGCTACTAGGGAGGCTGAGGCAGTAGGATCTCTTGAGCCCAGGAGTTTGAGGTTGCTGTGAGCTAGGCTGACGCCAGGGCACTCACTCTAGCCCTGGCAACAGAGCGAGACAGTGGCTCAAAAATAAATAAATAAATAAATAAATAAATAAATAAATAAATTAATTAAATAAAATCAGAATGAAACACTGTTTCTTCTGTCCCCCTAGGTATCCCCTTTTATTAGTTTCTTGTTTACAGGAAGCAAGAAACAGCGGTCTCCAACCTTTTTGGCACCGGGGACCGCTTTCGCCATGGAAGACAGTTTTCCCCTGGGCGATGGGAGGGAGGCGGAGCTGGGGGTAATGCCGGACGGGGAGGGGGCTGCTGTAAATGCGGATGAAGCTGGCTTGCTCTCCCGCTGCTCACCTCCTGCTGTGCGACCAGGCTTCCTACCTTTCATGGAAGACCATTTTCCCCCCGGGGCGGCGGGGGTGTTTTGGGGGCGATGGAAGGGGAGCGTGTCGTTGGGAGCGGACCTCTGTGGCCCGTCCCTGACAGGACCGGTACTGTAGTCAGCCTCCCAGGGGTTGAGGATCGCATATCCAAAACATGTTTTTAAGATGTTTATATTCAAAAGTGTCAAGTGTCATCTGTGTTCAGAGAGGCAGTAGAACAAAACGAAACAACATAGAATGTGACTTTTCTGATAAGCTGACTTTTCTAGTGACATTCTATTCTAGCCTTAGTTTTTCCTTCCTAGTCCATTAATCTAAGCATTTGCTAAAACTGATTTCATTTTGTCCTGCTCTGAGTAGGTTTCACTCTATGCTCTTTCTGCTTTACTTTAAAATCTTTGTCTTAGACATTCCATCCCAAACAACCTCTTGAGAACTCCTCCACAATCTCCATAGGTTTCATTCTTATATTTTCTCCTCCCTCATTTTTATATTTTCTCCCCATGTCAGTTCCTGTTGCCTTGTGCTTAATAAAAACAGTCACAAACTTCCTTTTCCTAGAACATTCACTTCGTTACTGCCCAATACCCTCCATTCTTTTCCCATTTTCTCTTTTCACCAAGTTTAGATAGAAAATGCCAAACTTATAAATATTACTTTCTGACCAGCACTAAAGTTAAAGTACTGAAGTTGATATAGTAGTAACAGGAGACTATTACAGGTAAAACATCTCGGTATATATTGCTAGTTTTCTATATCACCGAGGTTTTTTCTCTGTTTCTGATGAAACAAATACCTCTCAGAGTCTCTGATTTCATTTTCTGTATGCAAGCCCCCTAAGACTCAATAGTAGAAGGGGGCCACAGGGACAATCAATCTATTATTATCCTAATATGACACATGAGAAAACAGATTTTGTGAGAGAGTAAATGATTTATGCAAAGTCACACAGCTACCTAGTAAATGTCAAAACCAAAACTGAAATTAGGTCTATAGATTTCTAATTCAATACTTTTCCCCATTATTCTAAGCTGTTTTAACTCTGATACTAAATTTAGGGGAAAAGAAATGAAAAACTTTAAAAAGTTTCTTTCCTTACCTGACATGGTCAGAGAAGAGGAAATGTCAATGGAGGATAGAAGGGATGAGGAGATAATATTAGAGGATGTCTGAGGAGTAGCAGAAGAGCGCATGTGGCCAGCAGAAAGGTCACTGGTCACTGATTACTGGTCACTGGTTACTGGTCACTGGTTATTGGTCAGTTGCGATGATCCAAATTTATTTACAGACAACTCCATGGAAACCCCAAGATTCTACCAGGTGCTCGTAGGTTTGGTGGGAGAATGATGTCACAAAGGAGGCAGTTTAAAGGTATGAGTTAGCCAATGTGGAGGTCAGTTTCCCAGCAAGAAGAAGGCACTGGGTGGAGGGAGTGTTAGGAGAGCTGCAACAGCACCTGGCTGGCTGAGCTCTCGGGAGGTGAAAGACAGACATGATAGTCCCACCTTCCCAGGCTCTTATGTTAGGGAGGTCATCTCAATATTCCTCATAGATGTTCATTCATATAATTAACTAATCGTCATTTATATTTAGTACATTATGTTTCCTACTATAATCTATATTATACATTTATAATTAGATATTATATATACAGTTAATTGATATTCTTGGGTAGGAAGGAAAGGGACAACTAGGTTGAATAACTGTTGTTCTGAAATGATTTCACTGGATCTGATCAGTGAACTTACTGCAGCTTTTAAGGACCAAAGGAAGGGATTAAAGAGCTCTTTTTGTAATTTGGTTGAAGAGTAGGGTAACGTTCATTGAGTGCACATTGTAGAAAATGATGTGGTCCAAGGCTCTTCTCTTTAGGTTCTTCTTGAATCCCACCTTCCTGGGGTGGGGTGGCCTGGGCCAGTTTGAACTTGCATCTCTCTTCTGCTCTCCCTTTTCCCCCCTTGATTCTAGGTATTTCTGGGATGAGCATTGCTTTCTTACATTTGTGGATGTTACTTCCTGTCAAATTCCAGAGCAGGGGTCTTCTTTTCAGTGCCATCATATTCAAAAAATGGACTCTGCCCATTAGAAGCAAACACCAGAGAGATAGAAGACACAGCTGACTGTCAAATTTCCATCTTTCAGCCTCTGGGTGCAGTTCTTTTGCCCATAATTTACTACCTCTGGTTCCTTGGGCCATGCAGACATCCTGCCATCCTTCTCTTTCATATGTGAGAGGCATTCAGAATATTTTTCTCCTTTCCCACATTATAGACTCCATTGTGGCAGTTACTGTGGCCTCCTCACCCTAGCAAACAGCCACTATAGAATCTTGGACCTCTAGGATTCTCTGTCTGCCATGCTTGGGTGCAAGGTCAGGCAAAATGAAGAGGAGAATGGTTAAGAGAAAGAAGAAGATATTAATAGATAATAGGGAACAGGCAGGGTGGTGGTATAGGAAAAAAGAGATTCATGTGGATTTTTTTTTTTTTGGTTTGTTAACTTTATTTGATATATTTGACAATCAGTGGTTAGTTCTCATCCACGTTGACTGTCTGTAGATTTTTAAAAGTGATAACGGGGGCCAGGCGCAGTGGCTCACGCCTGTAATCCTAGCTCTCTGGGAGGCAGAGGCAGGCGGATTGCTCAAGGTCAAGAGTTCAAAACCACCCTGAGCAAGAGCGAGACCCCGTCTCTACTATAAATAGAAAGCAATGAATTGGCAAACTAATATATATAGAAAAAATTAGCCAGGCATGGTGGTGCATGCCTGTAGTCCCAGCTACTTGGGAGGCTGAGGCAGGAGGATTGCTTGAGCCCAAGAGTTTGAGGTTGCTGTGAGCTAGGCTGACGCCACGGCACTCACTCTATCCTAGGCAACAAGGTGAGACTCTGTCTCAAAAAGAAAAGAAAAAAGAAAGTGGTAACGTGTACATAGGTAACCAAAGTATAGAGCTTGTTTGGTGAATCTTCATCCTCATTACGTTTTCTGGACAACTGCACACGGATCCGGTGTGGGACATTCCTTATTCCTTTGGCCCAGACAGCTTTGTTGAGCCTGGTATCGATGCGCACATCTGGAATTCCCATCTCCTTCATGGCAAATTTCCGGATCTGTTTGAGTGCCTGAGGGGCACACTTCTTGAAGCCCACTCCACGGATGCACTTGTGAATGTCAATGGTGTATTCTCGGATCACCACTTCGCTGATAGCAGAACGGCCCTTCTTCTCGCCACCCTTCTTTGCGGGAGCCATTCTGCCAGGCCCAAGTCAGAAAGGAAGAGCTCGAGGGATTGTCTCGTGGATTTTTTAGTTTCTATGAGAAACAACAAGACACATGTTGACTTTATTTTATATGAACAGAACAGATAATTTAATATTTTTTAAATATAGCTAGATAGTCCAGAAAGTGCCATGAATTCTGTATATTCAAGAGGATAATCTTAAATATATCTTTCTCATTTTGTTTTATGTCATATTACCTCATTTGTGTCATTCATTAGTATATTTGTAGAATATAGATTTCTTTTAAGTGCTCTGGTTTTTCTACACTTTTTCTTGCCTTTTTTTTTAAGGACTCTAACATTGTAGGACATATTGCATGTTTTTTGTTGATGATTGTTTATTTTGAAGCACCATGAACTAATTTGACCTGTTGGATTTGGGGGAGGAAATTAAAGAGGAGGCTGGGAAAAGGCATGGTGAGTTGTTGGGTGTACCCAAGCCTAAGGAACAGATGTCTGCAATCAGCCCAACTTGGCCTGGATTGCCTTTGTTTTTGTTCCCCTAGTTAAGGCCTTTCTCATTACCTTCTCTTGTAACTGTGATAAAGTGAGTTAGGGCAGAGTTACTAATGATTTATATGTGATTTATAAGCTGGGTTAGGGGAGGAAACCTATGGATATAATCATTTATTTGGTGGTAAGCTCTTAGGGATGCCTAGCTCAGTCTATCTAGGGACTTTTCTAGTGCAGTGAATACATAGTGAGGGAAACAAGGTACCAAGAGCCGATGAGAAGATCAGCTCAGGATGGGACCTCTAAAGATACATATTGCATTTATAGGCCTATTTGTCTCATCTATTCCAATAATGCTTCATATTACGAGACATAAATTTTTACAGTGATTGTGTGTGGGAGGGTAATGCTTATCTGAGAAGAAATTATGAAAGGTGTGGCAATGTAGAGATGGCCTTAAGCCATATGAAGTGTTCAAGGTTTTCTCCCTTTGATCTCAGCTTGATAATTCAGATAGCCCACTTCTGTGATACTGGTATGTAATGTGAAACTAACAACACATGCTAAGTAGTGTCCGCAAGCCAGACCAGTCCCTGTTTTCTCAATGTTTTCATGGAAATCCAGGGAATCCATAACTGCAGGTCAGGGTGGGTGGTATAAGATGTGCAGCAGTGTGGTAGGATCACTTCTAATAGCAATGAAATGTTTACATGTTAAAATATTCATTTCTAACATTCAATGCCATTTAGGCAAATGCTTATTATATGTTTTTTTTTTTTTTTTTTTTCTGAGACAGAGTCTCTGTTGCCCAGGCTAGAGTGCTGTGGCGTCAGCCTAGCTCACAGCAACCTCAAACTCCTGGGCTCAAGCGATCCTCCTGCCTCAGCCTCCCCAGTAGCTGGGACTACAGTCATGCGCCACCATGCCGGCTAATTTTTTCTATACATATTTTTAGTTTGCCAATTAATTTCTTTCTATTTTTACTAGAGATGGGGTCTTGCTCTTGCTCAGGCTGGTCTCGGACTCTTGACCTTGAGCGATCCTCCCGCCTCAGCCTCCCAGAGTGCTAGGATTGCAGGCATGAGCCACCACACCCCACCTATAGTTTGATTTTTGGTGTTTCTCAGCCCCATACTATTTTCTCTGCATAGTTCTAGCCAATTAACTAACTTGCACTCTCACCATCATCTTAACCTCTACAATAAATCTCACGAGGAAGAACTTAAAGAGCTGTAGACTATGCCGGGCATTGTGTTGCATGCCTGTAGTCCCAGGGACTTGAGAGGCTGAGGTGGGAGGATTGCTTGAGTCCAGGAGCTCAAGACCGGCCTGGGCAACATACTGAGACTCTGTCTCTGAAAAAAATTAAAAACAATAAGGAGCTTTAGTCTAACATTCTGGAACTTAGCATCAAGTCCTACCATGACCTAAAGCTTCAGTTTTTATAGTTAGAGTGTAGTCTTGTCTCAGAGACCCACTCCCTAAATTTTGTACCCATCAGGATAACTGGATCTTGTCTTGGTGTAACATACCTAGTCCATCTACCTCTGAGACCCTTGCTTACTCTCTCTCTCTCTTTCTCTTTTTAATTTTATCTTTTATTTTTTACAAATTTTTATACTTTTTTTTCTTTTCTTTTTTTTACCATGAGAAATTGGTTTGAAGCTTACTCTCTCCATAATCTATTTTTGATTTTATTAAATACTGGAATCCCTCGAACTGCTACAGGGTACCTTGGACCCTACCAGATAATACTAGATTTATTAGTATCAATTACTTAGCTGTTTGTACTCCAGATATCCGGTGCCCCTATATTTTCCATTCCAGAGCACTACACACTTGTAAAAGCATTCTTTTACCTCATGCTGTGTGTACTTTCATCTAATGGCCTACTCTTTTCCACTTCCCATACTTTCTAGAAACCCTATTCTTCCTAGGTCTGAAATTTTTGTGTCAACTGTAACTGAGTTTGTTCTCATCCCATGTTTGTGTCTTTTAGCAAATTGGAAGCGTAAGATCAATATAGTTTTTCTACCTTCTGATAGATTTATATCACATTTTATATCTTGTCATGTCTATAGACATGACATTTGTACTTTTGGGCCAGTGTACATGTACTTTAATTTTTTTCACAAATTCCTAAAGAGTATTTTATAATTTAATATCAAATTTGAATATACATAATTGTAAGTTTGCAAATTATGTTATACTATCTTGTATTTTCTTTTTCCAATTAGCAATTTACTAATATTGACACATTTTTAATTATGTAGAAATTTTCAGAATTGGAAATGCTTGTGGATTTAAGGTTGGAATGTGTCTGTATCAAAAATTTTAATAAAGGTTGTAGACTTTTTAACCATTCATTCATTTCTTTTTTTGTTTGTTTGTTTGTTTGTTTGTTTGAGACAGTCTCGTCTCTTGCTTAGACTAGCGTGCCATGGTGTCAGACTAGCTCACAGCAACCTCAAACTGCTGGTCTCAAGCAATCCTCCTGCCTCAACCTCCCAAGTAGCTGGGACTACAGGTGTGCACCACCACTCTCAGCTAAATGTTTTTTCTATTTTTACTTGCCCAGCTAATTTTTTCTGTTTTTAGTAGAGACAGGTCTTGCTCTTGCTTAGGCTGGTCTCCTACTACTGAGCTCAAGCGAGCCTTCTGCCTTGGCCTACTATAGTGCTAGGATTACAGGTGTGAGCCACTGCATCCGACCCCATTCATTGATTTCTTCGATAACTCTGACCTTTCTGATCATCAGTTTACCAAGCTCTAAAATGGTTGTGAAGATTCCTAAAAATGTATGTAAGGTGCTTTTCTAAATTAAAAACTAAAAAATAAAAATTATTTTAATAATCTAGCATAATTACTTACAGTTTAATCTAGAATTTAGTACTGTATTCTGCCTTCAGACCTACTGATAGGTCATGCTTTGCTGTTCCACTTGTAGAAGAATTCAGTTTTTCTAATAGGAACAGATCTTCATGTCTGATACTGGGTATAAACCTTGGACTTGAGCTGCACTTTCAGTAATTTTCCGTAATTTTTCTAACACATAAATACATTCTGTCCACCTTTAGCATGGTACCAGCTACATGATAGGAACCCAATAAAAAGTTGGCTGTAAATTGAGTGTTGTTCATAGAATATTTTTGGAGAGTAATTAGACAGTAGCTTTCAAAATTTTATATATCTTTCATTCCAGAAATTGTAATTCTAGGAATTTAGATATAGCCATATATATGTATAAATATGTTCACATTGCATCACTATCTGTAACAGAAGATTTAAAAAAACCTAAAACAAGTAAAGGTCCATCAATATTGGATTGGTTAAATAACTTATGGTAGTTTTAATTATGTTACTTATAAGCAATGAAATGCTTTACAGCCATTTAAAAAATAGAAGTGATGTACATATAAACTGGGAAAATCAGTGTTCCAGATACATTGTAGAATATATGCTAGCCTGCTTTTGTATAAAAATAGGAGATATACATATGTGAAAGTAAATATTTACACACGGTATACAAAATGTGAATCTAAGCACTTGTAAATACCTGGAAGAATACACAAGGAACTGGGGGCGGTGGCACTTTTTATTCCATGCCCTGCCTTATTTGAATTCTGAAGGGTGCATGGCCGACCTCATTCATCTGCCTGTGCTACCGGCCGCCAGCTACGGAGGGCGCTGTGGCTATTAATGTCCTGTTTACAAATGGAGCGTCTCAGTAAGCCGAGGTGGTGACGCCATCACGACGGGCGGTGGCGCCTGCGCAGTACCGAGGCTTTGGGGCGCTGCCTTGGGTACTGGAAAGGCTCTGCGGTTCCGGGGTCTTATTTTGGTACCAAGGACGCCGGACTGGCGCTTTTGGCCGGCTTGGCATTGGGTAGGCGGTATCTTGGGGCCCACATGAGCCAGTGGCATCATGCCCGAGGTGGCTGGGGCCGGGGTCGCGACTTTTCTGGACGTTCTTCAGCCAAGAGGAAGGGCGGAAACCACATTCCCGAAAGGTAATATGCCCTGGTCCGTGGGGATTGTCCTCCTAGCTCTCAGCTTCTGGACCTGAGCTTCATCTGTTGTGACTTCTGCCTGTCACTGTCGCGGCCTCAGCCTGTCACTGTCGCGGCCTCTGCCTGTCACTGTCGCGGCCTCGGGCTTGGTGTGTCCGTCGGGCTTGGTGTGTCAGTCGCTGGCATAGAGGCGTCGACCTACGCAGCGCCTCCGGCAGTAGCTGAAAGTGGGGCAGTGTCTGTTTGTCCTGTGATTTCTCCCTGCTATTTAAAAAGCGAGGTTCTGGCCATGATTCTCAGGTAAAATACGGAAGGACCACTTTAATGCGGAACTGTTAGTGTTGGGGCCACTCCTTAATTACCAAAATGGAACCCTTCTGAACTCATGAAGTTATGCTTTGTTGACAGAAAATGTGAGTAACAATTGGAGTGAATGAACCCACTAGTATCGACCTGAAAAGTTGGAAAGTTGGTTTATAAAGTTTCCAGAAATCACAAGGAGCATACTGTGTTGATTCTGAACAGGTCTCATTTGAGAGATCATCGTTTATAAGTTCAAATGACTGATTTTGAGATTTTGCTCATACGTGCAGAGAACTGTTTTTACTCCTTGAGACCTTTCTGTCTCCAGTCTCATACCTCATTAAGTCCCCTTCATTTTATCTCCTGAGTTATCTTTTGAGTATGTCGACTTCTCTGCATGAGCACCTAATACAGGTCTTGGCTGACCTATTGCAATTGGTTCCTAACTATTGTCTATATATCTACTATTTGTTTTCTTCCTGTCCATTCTTTTTTTTTTTTTTTTTTTTGAGACTGAGTCTCACTCTGTTGCCCCTGCTAGAGTACTGTTGCTCTCTCCATGGTCAGGGATCCTCTCTGCTTCTCCAGCCCCATCTGTCACCACTCTTGTCCTGACTATCTATACTTCATATGTACAGAATTAACTGTAGTTAATTATCTCTCTCTTTTCTTCTTCTTGGTTAATTCCCTCTCTCTCCTTCTTACTAGTTAATTCTTTGTCTCTTTTTCTTAGTTAATTCTCCCTCTTCTTCTTCTTCTTCTTCTTCTTTTTTTTGCGTAGAGATGGGGTCTTTGCTATGTTGCCTAGGCTGCTTTCGAATTCCTGGACTCCAGTGAACCTCCCATCATGGCCCCCCAGTGTGCTGAGATTAGTGCTTTGAGCCACTGCACCCAGTGAACCCTTGTTAATTCTAACCCATCATATTTTTCACTGTGACTCCTAGCATTATTATGTGAAGTTCAGAGTCCCCTTCCTATTATGTTTTCTCTTAAAATACAGACTTGAATTTCCCTACTTTTCCAATTCAGTGGCATCAGTTGTATGAAGACTAAATAGACTGCAAAGTGAATTAATTGAATTTAAATTATTTCACGGCACATGTGTGTATTAATGGTACCTTAGTATTTGATACTGGGCTAGGTTTTATCAGGCATGCAGAAGTCCTGGCCATCTCTGGTTTTAGATGTGTCATATTTGTGGAAAACTTTGCACTATTTTGTTGCCTTGTATCTGTTTTCAAGATAGGGAAACAGGAAGAAGGATAGTATAGGTCATTACTGGGTGAGGTTGAATACATGGAGTGACCAAATGCAAAGCAGAGAGGAGAGGGGATTTAGTGTGTGGGCTATGATTCCCATTTTCAGAGAGTCTCATTTTGTGCAGGGAGACAAGGCTAACACAATTTGGCTAACAAAAAATATACTTACTAGGTGGAAAGACTATCTCCCTGTTGGACAACGGATGCCT